AAAGAAAATAAAAGAAACACAAAAGTAGAGAGAGAAATTAAGTGTTGAAGCTTTATGATCTCAATTATCTCTCAAATTCACTTGTTTTCTTGCTTTGTTCTTGGCTCGAAATCTCTAGAATATTTGGTTGTTACCTTTCCTTTAATATCTCTAAAAAAACATCCTTTAAATAGACTCCAAGTAACCTAATTTCCAAAATCCCATCAAATTTTTATTTTTGAAAAATAGCCTAGCACTGTGATGTTATGCTCTCAAGAAAATGTGTTGTGTGTTTCCTTTCACCAGTGCTGCAAGCTTACTCTTAACTTTCCAATGGCTCAAAAATCACATCAATTCGACTTTGGGATTGAAAGAAATAATCCAAACAATGCATCATTGTCAGTCCATGCATACTACTATAGTGCTTTGATTTAGACAAATATTTTTACCATGATCTGCTCAAAACTAGGGGAAGTGGTTAACATAAAATTTGTAGCCCTTCTTCTTAACATTCTAGTAGTTCAAAAATCACTTCATTTAGAGTTCTGTATAAAGAGATATGGTTAAAATACCAAAATATATATAAGTGAAGCTATCACCATACTTGCATGAATTTTCATCATATGAGACTTTTTCATCAAATTTCCTACAAAAGAAATAAGAAAAATTAGCAATACTACTCTTAAAGTAATTTAAAACAAAATAACATAAAATTAAACTAAAACAATTTAAATTAACCACTTAACAAGTAATCAAACTTAAACTAAAAAAACACTTAAAATGCTATGATCTAAACCTAAAATCTCAAAGATCTAGCTACTTAAGCTTTCAAAATATTTCAAAATAACTCTATATAATAAAGTTTTCACAAGGTTAGAACGCCACGGATACTTGACAATGACAAAAGATGCTTTGATGGAAGAAGGGAGTGTGGATTTCGTGCTGGTAGTGGGCGAGTGTTCGGATGTATTTCCAGATGAATTACTTAGATTGCCTCTTAAGAAAGAGATTAATTTTGTATTAATTTCATTCTAGGTATGCAACCAATTTCGATACCGCCTTATCGAATGGCACCAGTTGAGTTAAGAGAGCTCAAAGGGCAACTAGAAGACTTGTTGAACAAGGGTTTTATTTGTCCTAGTGTCTCACCTTTGGGAGCTCCAATGTTGTTCGTGAAGAAGAAAGATGGTAGCCTTCAGTTATTTATTGACTAACAACAATTGAATAAGATCACAGTAAAGAATAAATATCCATTCCCAAAGATTGATGATTTGTATAATCAGTTGCAGGGTGCTATGTGCTTTTCTAAGGTTGACTTACGCTCGGGGTATCACCAGTTGAGTATAAGGGAGTATGATGTAACCAAGACAATGCTTCACACACAATATGGACATTATAAGTTTTTAGTGATGTTGTTAGGACTCACTAATGCACCCACAACATTTGTGGATTTGATGAATAAGGTCTTTCGAGTATATTTGGATAAATTTGTTATTGTATTTATAGATGACTTATTGGTGTTTTCTAAGGGCCTAGAGGAATATGCACAGCATCTAAGAATTGTGCGACAAACCCTGAAAGAGGATAAATTATATGCTAAGTTTTCAAAATGTAAGTTTTGTTTTAGTAAGGTCAGTTTCTTGGGACACATTTGTTTGAACAGAAGGTGCATGTGGATCCTAGTAAGGTGGAAGTTGTGAAGAATTAGTCAAGGCCGACATCTATAATTGAAGTTAGAAGTTTTCAAGGCTTAGCTGAATATTATAGACGGGTTGTTCAAGATTTTTCTAAGATTGAATATAAAAAGTGGTCAAGTTTGATTGGTCTAATATTTGTGAGGCTAGTTTTTAGAGCTAAAAGCCTGCCTTACTTCTGCACTTGTGTTAAGCCTACCATGCGAATTTGAAGGCTATACTGTGTATTGTGATGCATCACGGATCGGATTAGGTTACATATTGATGCAACGTGGGAAGGTTATAGCATACACCTCATGACAATTAAACAGGCATGAATAGAATTACCTTGTGAATGATCTAGAGATAGCAACAATCGTATTTGCCTTAAAGATTTGGAGTCATTAGTTGTATGGAGAAACTTGTGAAATATATATAGACCACAAGAGCTTGAAGTATATATTTCAATAGAGGGATTTAAATTTAAGGCAACGTAAGTGGTTAAAGTTATTAAAAGATTGTGACTGTACCATACTTTACCATCCCGGCAAAGCGAATATGATAACGGATGCTCTAAGCCAAAAATCGATGGGGAGTTTGGCACATGTGATTGTGGAGAGACGATCTTTGGTGCAGAGTTTATATGATTTGGGCAATATGGGAGTGCATTTGGAGATTAATCACTTGAACACCTTGTTGGTGCACTTTAGAGTTTGACCAATGATATTAGATCGAATTAAAGTTGCCTAAGATCAAGATGAATAT